CAATTGAATTTTCAATATGGGTTGTTCGGGACCTTTAGGAATTCGGCTTCCTTTCATGTCGAGATGTGGAGCCAATTCGGGCCATGAGGAGAATCGTATTTTGTCGTGTGATTTTAACTTTACTCGACTTTACCGTTGCCCCTGTTCCCAGAAAGCGGTACCCTCTCGGCGGGTCATTTGGCCGGGTGGTTGGTATGCAAGCTCCAACCGATGGGTCGGCGAAAGGCAAGAGCCGGCTGAAGGCAAGGGAGCGAAAGTAGAGAACTTCTGGTTGCAGAGTAAAGGAGGGAGTTCTTTCGATTGCCTGTCGGCAGGTGACGACGTACACACATACGACTTCAAAGCAAGTCTGGCAACAAGTGTGTGTGTCCATAGCATCTGTAAGGCTATGACTGGCCGGCAATCGAGTTCGCCCCCCTCACTTGACACCCAAAAGTCCGCATGCCATTTATTTATTTCATCTCGTGCTCTGCTTTGGTTGGTTGCTGCTTGCTTCACACACACACACACACACACACACACACATATATATATATATATGCACACATGCACACATATATACATACACATACAGGCAAGACTGAGCACACATTCGGAGGCAAATAAAGAGGTGTTAAAAAGACCCACACCGCAAGCAAAATTCCCCCAAAGCGGAAAAGCAACGGTCTGTACCGCCTGAAGAGAACCACACAGTCGTGCCGACTACTCAGAACATCCCCAGAAGACTTGAGCTAAGACAGCTGCCGAAGTGTCTGGGTGACAGGACCAACCCCTTTGTCTGCGTGCACAGTTTACACGAGGAGCCAACGAGACGGGAGACAGCAGGTTGTGCTTACGCTGCTGGCCAAGGGACATTTTGACCCCGCGGGTGTGTATGGGAAAAGGGACCATGTAGAGATGCCCAACGCGCTCCATCAAATAATCATTTTCATGCCTTTTGCAAAGTGGCCATGAAAGTTTTCATATGACCTGAACTCACTAAACTTCATCCACAAGCCTAATACAGCACGTAAGTATACGCAAAATCATACAACAATTCACAGGCAATAGGATACAATCATCCATATATATATATGCGCTTTCGTACGCAAAAATACATGCATACATATATTCATACATAACTAAATATATTCATATTTACATACAAACAATCATACGCACGCATACATAAATACATACATGCATGCATACATATATTCATATTTACATACATACAATCATACACACACACACATACATACATAAATGCATAGGTAAATTCATACAAACTACATATATTCGTATATACATACATACAATCATACACAGGCATACATTCATACATACATGCATACATGCATACATATATTCATACATAATAAATATATTCATATATATATACATATAATCATTCACACGCATACATAAATACATACCTACATGCATGCATACATTTATTCATACATAACTACATATATTCATATTTACGTACATACAATCATACACATGCACACATACATACATGCATACATATATTCATACATAACTACATATATTCATATCTACATACATACAATCATACACACATACATATATTCATACATAACTATATATATTCATATTTACGTACATACAATCATACACAGGCATACATACATACATGCATACATATATTCATAGATAACTACATATATTCATATATACATACATACAATAATACACACACATATATACCTACATGCATACATATATTCATACATAATTACATATATTCATATATACATACATACAATCATATACACGCATACATACATACATACATGCATACATATATTCATACATATATTGATACATAAGCATATAAAGATATATTCATGCGCGAATAGGTATTCATCTGGATATATCAGATTATGCGAATAAAAGTTGGGCTTCGAGGACTCTCTTGGTTTGCAATGGTTAAGCTCACTTCCATTTCGAGTGAGGGTATGTAGTAAAGAGATTCGAAGAACGATCCCACCACAAGGCAACCACCAGTTGATTTATCTTAACCCGCTGTCGATTGACTTTACTGGAATTTTCTTGTCGACGCCGTTAGGATGATGCCCTGCTATGTGCATTATGTCTGCAATATGGTCGACGAAAGCTTGGCACTTTTTGACTGGAAGCAGCGTGAAGAAGAATGCTCCAGCAAAGTCAATCGAGAGCTGGTCAAGAGAAATCAGCCGTCGTCTTCTGGTAGGTTCGTCCTTGCAATCCTTTCGCCAAACACTTTCATTCGAAATGGAAATGAGCTCAGCAACTGTATCGGCTTATCCTTAATTGTGAACAAGTGAGCGTCGCGGTGACTACTCCGAATGCATCTTTAGGACAGAATTTTGAAGAAGTTATGACAAAGTTGATGTTAATTGAAGGAAAGTTGGGTTTCGAGGATCCCTTTGTTTCATAATAAGATGAGATGAGATGTGATCACATGAGTATATATATATATATATATATTTATAATATATATGGTCCATTTGTAGTCTCGAAAACGCACTTATGAAACGTTAAATAAGTAATCTAGTCGATTGCAATTGCAAATATAGCTGTGATTTATCGACAATGCCACCAGAAAATACACTGTGACCCAAGAACACTCGTGGCTGGCATACCACAAACCAGGTTCAAGTCCCGCTGGTGGGGCTGATGAGGTTAGCTGAAGCGAGTTCGAAATGTCAGTTCACTCTTGCCACTTTTGATGAAAAGACTTTTTGGAAAAGCAAGATTATGTGAAATTTAATGGGAACATGAGGCCTATTCATTAGCTCGTGGGTAAATTCAGCTACTACTCCTTCATCACATTATCAAAATAGAGCCAAATAGATCTCATAACTCGGCAACTTCTTCTTTGGGGCTTTTCCTGAGGTCAGCTAATTACGGTCGTTATTGGTTAAGCCCGGACCAAACAAATACTGTCTTTAAATGGCCTTCGTGTGCAATATGATGCGGAAACGAGAACCAATGTGAAAATGCGCTAAGTTTGGCTGGAATTGAATATGGCATGGCGTAAGAGATCGTGAATTCAGCGTTTAACTGAGACAAGGTGTATGGACCCCACGAACCTAGGGCAAGAGAACGAATTTTTCTCCAAAAGTGTGTATTAAAATAATATACAAATAAAGTATACAAAGACGTTATGGACCATTTAAGGCAATAGACAATGAACAATGCAAGTGGGCTTCGGAAGTTAAAAAATGGCAAAAACCAATTTGTATGCGAACTTTATTGATGACTAAAAAGAAATTACAAAAACAACTGCTTGCAATTGATGATTTGATCGGCTGTTTCCAGTGCAAATCATGTAATGAAGAATCACTGTTAGGTGGCTGACACCTGTCGAAATCGCTGATTGTGCAGTAAAATCTAAGAAAATTAACGATTAAAAATACAGTTAATAGACACTGAGGAGCAACTGATAAATTATTCCTATCATTAATTGATAATTATAACAAATTAGCACATGTGAAAAGCTTAAAAACAAAGACGATGGAATAAAATGGAAAATATAGATAACGACTTGTGAAATTTTCACTGGCGCGATTTTCCCCCAGTTTTCGGGATGCCTATCCCCCATTTGGGGCAAATTTTCATCAGTTAATCTTACAAGGTCTGTACAAGCGGATATGTGATAAAAACACCCTCAGAACAATTTGGTGGGATGCGGAAGACACCTGCACACAACCGGGCGATCGATCTATCTGTTTCTACATGTTTTAATATGCATAAAATATCCACACTTGGTGTGGTGTTTAAAAAGCCAGGGCATTCTAGAAGTTCGCATCACTCGCGCTGCCACCACTACTGATGAGGCTCGCCCACTCGGCCGGCCAATCTGCTGAAGAGATGGTTGCCCCAAATCGTGTTGTCTGTCTTCGTGCCTTTGCGCTTGTTCCACCTGCCAGTGGACGGATAACTTGTGCGCGCAGGTTGGGACCATTTCAGGGTGTTGTAGGTCGGCTTTCGACGGAAAAGACACATCGATTCCGGAAACAGTCTGGCAGGAATCGACGTCGGCCTTATTTCGGCCGAGAACCTGGACGAAATTCTCAAAGCTTCTACGCATTATCATCAGACGAGGGGTTCAATTGGGCCAGGCGCGTCTAGTGGAATTCCGGCGGAAGCACAGAACCTGGATACAGCATGGCAGTGAAAAAGAAAATACGTCAATAATGTACCATATAAAGGAGCAGTAAGCGTTAGAGTGAAAGGGATGTGAGAAAGGACATGAGATAGCGAGAGAAGAGATGAACGGAGAGCTCAAGCTAGACTATGGCAAATGCGGTAGATGTAAAAAGGGATCAGAGAAAAGAATGAATGGGGAGCAAGAGAGAAGTAAAAATATGAGATAAGATAAAGGCTGATTAATTGAAAGTAGATAAATTAAGATGAGGTAAGCTTAGAATATACCAAATGAGATCAGCTGAATTAAGAAGAGATGAGACTTAAAAAGATGAGTTGAGATAAATAAAGATGATATGATATAAAATGTTCTTTAAACAAGGGTGAGATGATGATGAGATAAGATGA